GGAGGGGGAGGGGAGAGAAGAGAGATGTGTGTTTCAGGGAGGCAGAATGGACAGGAAAAGGGTAAGTAATGTACAAGAGTAAAATGGAAACAAAATGTGGAAATAGGTATCCATTTACAGATCATAAATTTAATAAAGACATGGCTTACACAATTGTTCCTAGGACTGAAAATGCTATGTTGGAAATGTTCTTTTCAGCTCCCTAAAATGTTGCATACAAAAGGTAATTCCTTAGAAGGCAGAGATTTTACAGTACTTAACATTCCTAGCTCACAGATATTCTAAACAGCACTTTGCAAGAGGAAACACAGCAACTTAATAAAATGAAGACACCCCAGTTGTATAACATAGCTGCCAGCATAAATTTATAACATTTCTATGTAATTGTTTTTAAGATAGATAATAAAAGGCTATATCCAGGAAGGAAAAACATACACCACCCTTATAAGTATGCCAACCCATTCCAGCTTCTACTGACTTCAGAATAAAAGATTTTTTTTTCCTTGTTATCTTTTTCAGGATATGGGGGAAGATAGTCAAGTCCAGACTTCCTAGTCACAATGCAAAGTCCTTTTTCATATTATCACTTGCTAATGGAAGCAGCTTTTAACAAGCACTACAGTCATGAAAAGGCTGGTAGTTTAAGCTTTGCAGGGTCTCACTATTTGAGTGTCCGACTCCATTTTCAGTTAAATACTTCCAATAAAGTTCTGCTAAGCATCCTTCAACATTTCTTCCTAAAGGTGTCATTTACTGAAGAATTACCAACAGAAGACGTATTCTCACATTTTCTGCTTTTACTAAAACAGTACTCTGAATCACTTTCTCCAAGTAATTGACACTTTTCACTACTGCTAAATGCCAGGAGGAGAAACTTGGGAGTCAAATGGGCTTTTGTTTTGACAGTTTACTTTGGAGGGAGGGGTATTGATTTCTTCAAAGAAAATATTGCCCCAGGAGTCTAAATTGGATGGGTTGTTAGACCTGCATTTCACAGTTCCTTCCCTAGCCCATCCCTAACATACTTAAAATTCTCCACAGCAATTGTTTGTGTTAACAAAATATTCTGAAGAGCTCCTTTCTCAGGGTAGTTTGAGACAATATGAAGGGGCTTGGGCATGCAGAAACTAGAGCGTTTGCAGGAACCCGTATCTCTGTAAGTTCATGTCCTCCTGGGGTCTCAAGAGCTGATGGACTCAACAAGTCCATCTGAAATGGTATTTTTTGAGATATCACTAGGCCAGCCTTGTCCTAAGTGCTTGTTCGTTGTTCTTGAATCACTTCTTCCGCCTCCTCCAAAGCCTTGTGGCTTTCTTGAAGATGGTTTTATCTAATATAAAAGCCTTTAGAATTTGTGTACAACTACAGAGACATTAAAAAAAAAAAAAGCTTTTGTGACATTCTTAGACTCAGCATAAACTATACCAACAAAAACATTTGGCAAGAAGTTTGACTCACAAATAATGAAAAGGATATGTACCCTTCCTCATTCTTGTTCATAGTCACTCACTCTCTCACCATTTCTTACAAATGCTTATCTGCTCCACGTTGAGCAAGTTCAGGGGCTAAACAGGCAGAAAGACTGCTTTGTAGGGGTTTTTTATTTTATTTTGGGACAAGAAAATAACTATCCGTCTGAAAAATATTATAGTATGCAAAAATATTTAAACCACAAGTAGGAATTTTACAAGTTGCCCAACATAACCTCCAATGAAAATATATAAACACAATCTCTCTCTGTCTCCTAGGATTTTGAACAAGGATAGAAGCATACAGTGGCTATCCCCCACGTAAAAAGCTTTTTTTTTTTTTTTTGCAATAGACATGGCCTCAGAAATACCCTCAGAAAAACACATATACAATATTCAGAGTTTAAACTATTTCTTCTCTTGCCCATTGTTAGCTCCTGGGCTGATTATTACTTTCCTTCTACCCGTTTCCAAAGTTGTTTTCTGATCTCTCTCCTACTTCTGGCTTTTTCTGTAGAAGACTTCACTGCCACTGCCACTGCCACTGTTTGTATCTTCTACATGTCTGCTTATTAAAAGGTTATTTTCAAGATGTGAATTATTAAAGATGTATAAGGAAGGAGGTGCCCACATGACAAAGTGAACTTGGAAAGCATGTGCATGTGTCTTTAATCTTAAATCAGAACTGTACCGTGCAAGTACGTTGGTTAAAAAATGTTACATCCTTTATCAACATAGCTACAGTAGGATATGCCCTTGTCTATAGCTATATACATACATGCGGGTATTAGTATTTTTTTTCATTGGTATTGCTTGCTTCATTTGGAGAACTGAGGTACCAGGAAGTGGACACCTGAAGTCCACTAGGAAGGTTCTCAGATGTACCTCATGTACCTTCTTCAGGTAGATAAGATGTTTTTCTGGCTTAGCTTTACCCATGTAAGTAGTTTATTGGCCTCATCCCATAAGGATACTCTTTTGTAGTGATAAGAGAGCCTATCAAAAGAGGAAATAAAGATCATTAGCCAAAGTGGAACACTGTGTACCTTAGAATGAAGAGTTGGAACATTTCAATGAAGAGGGTCAAATCAAATCAATTATAGTATGTAAAACAGCACACTGAGATGCATCAGAAGTTTCATAGTAGACACAGACAAATAAATTCATTTCCTATAGTGAATCAAAGTCAACTGTATGAAGACTCTTCTTCCACAGTTTCATTTGTAGCAATACTTAGACTTGCCTGAGAGATAGAAGTATTCTTCACATGAAAAAAATAAAATAGCAGCTTCCTTCCCACAAAGCCCAAAACACTAGGCACTTCTTCATGTGTTTGGGATGCTTATGAGATTTCACATATAATAGTTTATGTTGCAGAACACCTTGTCAGCACCAATTTACATTCTGAATGTACACAACATGAACATCAAGTTCCAGAAAGTTTTTTAGAATCTCCTATTAAATACACATTTCCCCAAAGCATATAACATCATGAACTGAAACTTTTTAAAAAAGAAAAATCACATCAAAAAACCAAACCACAAAAGCCCACAAAACCCTTAGGTTATTCTAATGCAAGAGAAGGCAAAGTATTCTCTTTTCATCCCCAGCTACCAATTGCAATTCCCAGAATATCCTTTGCTGACCCAATTGCCTACCATCCGCCAGTAAAATAGCTCTCCCAACATCTCTATCCATGGAGAAGTGAGCTTGCGTGTATAAGAACAGTTCCTCCCCTGCTGAAAAACCCACAGCAAACCTAGCATTTTGACTCCACTACCTTTGCCCTGCTTCAGGTAGTAAATCAAGAGACACAAGTTCTATCTTTTCTTCCTCGGTTCTTTTCTGTCTACTTTTTGCATGTATAAAACTTCTTTGATCCATCATAGCATTTTTGCCATTCAAAATCTTCTGATAGATTTCTGGTCTAATTTCCAGAACCCTCAACCCACCAAGGCAGACAAGATGGGTTCTTTTTTTTTTTCAGTTTCCTTTCTCATTGACTTATATGAACACCTTCATGCTTTCTTCATTAATAAGCTGTTAAACAGTTATTGTACATTTCTGCTTTTCTGTATTTTATTTATGACTGGTGGGGAAAGCAGGAGCATTCATAGGCTCTCAGTGGAATATAGCAGTTGTCTGTTGCTTCTTCAGAGACAATGCCCAGAGTAGTATAGGATTGTAATTACCAATGTGAAGAGAGAAAAGCATGAAGCTTGAGAGCTTTGGGGAAGAAAAATGATGGAGTTGATGATAGATACTATCTACTAGTAAGTTACATGCTCTGTGCAGCTGTGAAAGAAGTGCAAAGGATTTAAAAACAGAACCAGCAACATCCAGCTCCTGAACTCCAAGGACAGTTAGTGCTTTATCAAGAGTTTATACTGAGGACTTTATGGTAAAATGGCTCATCTTAATCCAAGGTAATCTTAATGCAGGCCATTGCAATTTAAATATAGGACAATCTAGCTGTCCTGTTAGTTTCATTGGGTTTCTGAAACAGCACTGATATGGTTGTGCAGCACTAATATTACTCTGTACAACTACAGCCCATGTACAGAGCAGCAAAGCCTTAATAAAATAGAGGGCAAGTAATTATTTAGAAGGGTATCTCAAAATGAAGGTTCAAATGAGCAACCTGTGTATTAGTTTAGCACAATTTTATAGGGCCTCAACATTGTCACTGTTTTTTCCTGTACCTGGTTTCCCCAGCTTTCTACTTGATATAACCCACCAATAAAAGTCAATTAAAACAAAACTGTATTTTTAGGTAATGTAGGTAATGCAGCAACCACCTGAACACAAACTACTTGCAAGGAGTAGTCCAACAGTGATTCAGGTATTTATTTATATATCTATGGTTAAGCAAGTGAAACCCAAGATGCAGGTATCACTGAAAAATGTTTTACAGTATCACCTCTACATAACTTCTCATTTTTAAAATGTTTTATTTGGATTCGGAGACAGCATTCTCCACCCAAGTCTTACTATGTTTAGCTTATGGACTATTACCTTTCTTTGTAAACCACGCTCTTTCACTAATTCAGCAATGGACTGCAAAGCTAAGTTAATGTGTGTAGTTTACAGTGTTTATTTTTGATGGTGCTACCTAATATACCTATCAGTCATAATCAGGAGAATAGCATATTGTAAACTGGAACAGTTACTGTATAAGCAATAAGGCCCAATTTCTGTTTCGCTTCTGTAAAAAGTTTTTCCTGGGAGCAGCAGTAATGCCAGATTTCAAGGAATTGCAAGGGTTTGCAAGGAATCAGATGCAGAAGCCACTGTCCTAGGCGCTGAAAATGAACTTGGTAACCCACTGCGGCAGGTAAAAAAAAAACAAACCAACCACACTGCTAAGCCCCGTGTAGGGCAGTATTATGAAATCAGGACAGAGTACAGTAAACCCCCTGAAAACGGGTCAGTGGACTTATGATAAGCTTTCTTCATTTATGTTGGGTGGGAGAAGGGGAAAGGGGAAGGGAAAGGGAGAGGACATGTATTAATATATAACTCCAGACTCACCGATTTTGGCCAAGCTGGCCACAAGTATCCAGAGTGTAATGATATAAGGATCCTTGACGTGATTCCATTCGAAAGAGACGATGGCAAAGCTCTCAGGCTGGCTGCTATTTCTAGGGCTTCCCGAGCTTCTCTGTCCCAGCGCCGCTGGGAGAGCCATCAGCCCCAGGAGGAACCTCACTCCAGATACCTGCCTCATCTCCAAGCCACGCAACAAAATCCTGCTTCCCCTTCCCGCAGAAATCCCGCCTCTTCGGAACTCCTCGGGGGCGAGGTCCTTGTCCCTTTTCAGAGACGCGGCCGAGGACTGCGGACTGCGGGACGCTGGTGCGCTCGGCAGGCGGCGGAGAGGGTCGGTCCTGTCCTATCCCGGCACCGTCGGCACGGCTGCACCGGCTGGCTCCAGCGCCGCTTTGCCCGGGGAGGACGGAGGGGTCAAGGGCTCTGCGCACAGGCAGATGCTTCGAGCTGGGGTCCTTTGCCGCCTGCACGGCCCCGACT